GTTGCTTGATGTTGATGACACCTTGAATACATTTACCAGTATTCTACATTACTATTGTGAGTTGTAGGCCTTTAGTGTGAAAGTCACCCAGAATTTTTATTTTAGCATAATAACTCAGAGTATTCATCCAGATTTGGTATGCAGTTTATTCAGGATGAGACATGAGATGAGTGCACCATATTTTCAGACCCATCTTCCCATCTTGTTTCCTGCACAATAAATCCCTTTAATTTCAGCCATATTATGGTATGGTGCTTAATATCAATAAGACCATAACCATACATGATTGAGCATCATCGTTTGGCTGAATCATAGCTCCAAAAATTTTCATCAGACATTGGCTGAGTTTAAAAATTGCAGTCCGATGCTACATCCCCGTTTGTTTGTACCCCCCATACCAATTTTAATAAATAATACTGGCATTTCCTTGTACCTTTCATGCTTAAAACTTTCCATACTAACCTGGCACCATATTCCATACACTATGGGGTAGTTTATTTCCATCCGACATCATAATGACATAATTCATCCTATTCGGTAACTGCCGCATAATTCAGTAAATTACCATAATGTTGAGTTTGGAATTATATTCCTTTGCACACATGAACATATTAATGAAACCTCTTGTTAAATTCATGTGAAAGGCAATTTTTTTGTCATTTTCCTTTGAAGAAGCAGAAGACTTATGTATGTATATCTTTAGTCACGCATACAACCCTTAGCTGAAAATGGACTTGCCCAGGAAATGGAAATTGTTCTTAGTCATGTCCGTCTATAATATTGAAAAATTAGCGTTAAGCATGAACCACGATAATATTGAAAAATTAGCGTTAAGCATGAACCACGCAGACAATGACGGGTGTTATGGCCATTGTAATCAGTCTGGTTAAAAAGTATAAATCAATGAATGAATTGACTAAGTTCCTTGCACTGTTTATCAAATTAAATGTTTTAGTTATTGAAATTGGTAAGGGGGTACAAACCAATGGGGATGTAACATCAGACTATAGTTGAGTTAACAATTTTAGCACATTATATTCTGTTTGAGAGGTAATCCAACAGCATACTGCCAAATGAGTTTTTTTTCTGACAAGTTTGTGAGGTAAACAATCTTACTTTTGATGAATCCATAAATATGGCTGCAATATTTTTGTTTTGGGCTGAGTACAAATCTAGTTCATATTAGTTTAGTTTTAGAGCAGAAACCCTTTCTAACAGTAGAAAATGGGCATAAGATATCAAGAAATTGGTGGTCTGGTTGCATACAGGTAGTTCAAATCATTTTGAAATTTGAGAATTGACTGGATGATACAGTAGTTCTGTTTATCCAGTGGATAGTTTTTCTTAAAGTATATACATATATGGATTATGACTTCCTAGAGTCTTGTTTGGAAAATTTATTGTCAAGTCTGAAGTTTGTAAGTTTGTTTATAGAACCAGTCAGTGGTGAATTAAGATAAATCCCAAGTGCCTTTATTATGCTGATATTTGATATGGATTTAGCTGTCAAGACTTCAGACATGAGCAATGCATTTTTTTTTTACATGAAAGTTCTTTTTTGAAAGCCTGTAAGCTTAGGTGGTTATTGAAGGTTAGGTGGTTATTGCCCATGCTTTTGTGACATTAATGAAGAAGCTATTGAAGACATTTGTTACACAAGAATAATCAGAATTTCATCATAAAAATGTAAGATGATTGAGTAATGTGACAAAAGGAAGGTCTAATGGCTGGCTAGGAATCCACCTTCTTTACAAGGAAGGTCTAATGGCTGGCTTTTTGTTTCACTTGAGCAGCCTTAAAAACAAACAATTGTAATGGATTTATGCCAGAGTTTTGTCATCATATTGCTTTGTTTAACTGGTCATTCCAATTTTATACATTCTCAATTATGGGTATTACAGGTATTTATGAAGAAACTGAGCTTTTCTGTGTACAGCTTTTTCATAAAGATAAAGGAAATTGATTACTTTTGTTTTCTTGGTTTAAAGATGAGTATGTTCCTCACTTACATTAAAAGTGCTAAAATGTCCTGAACACATCACTGGGATCATCATTGTCAGGACATGGCCATGTTGGAATATTCACCAGGATTCCCTCACTTTTGCGACTCCCTTACACAGCATTTTAGGGATGGTGCCCTGTAGAAACTATTTCAACAACAGACAAAAGCAAAATAAATTGTAAAAATTTTTTTTAATGAAAACACTAATATCTGGTTGCATAATTCAAGACAACTTTTTTCTTCAGAGATAAAAAAATATTTTTCTAAAAACGTGTATGATGTATATAAAGAGAACTGAAAGATATATGGCTTTCATTTGATCTTGGAGAAAACACCCAACATTCATGTTTTTAGTTTTGAAATGGATTCAAATTGTATATTTAAGTAGCAGTGTTCTGCATGATTCTATAAAATCTATGCAGTTAAAATTATCTCTGTAATTGTACACTTCAGTAACAAGGTTTTGCATGATTCTATACAATCCATACAGTTAAAATTATCTCTGTAATTGTACACTTCAGTAACAAGGTTTTGCATGATTCTATACTGTCCATACAGTTAAAATTACCTCTGTAATTGTACACTTCAGTAACAAGGTTTTGCATGATTCTATACAATCTGTACAGTTAAAATTACCTCTGTAACTGTACACTAAAGTAACAAGGTTTTGCATGATTCTAGTCAATCCATACAGTTAAAATTACCTCTGTAATTGTACACTTCCCGGTAACAAGGTTTTGCATGATTCTATACAATCCATACAGTTAAAATTACTTCTGTAATTGTAAACTTCAGTAACAAGTTTTTGCATGATTCTATAAAATTTACTGTTATGACCTTTCTGTACAAATGATATACACATGATCCAAACAAATTTGCAATAGGAAAATATGAAGAAACAAAAGAGAACTTTATTTCTTCATCAACTACAGTACAAAAGCAAAATAAATAACAAAATTATCTGTATTTACAATATTTATGCAAGTCAACAAGAATGAACTTTAAAAAAAGAAAATATTTTTGTAAATAAAACATACTAATATCTCCAAATAAGGGCCATTGGTAATTCATTAGTTGAATTAGAAAAGATTCTTATTCCTTACTTAAATAGAGGATTTCTTCCAAAAATCTTACTTATAAATAAAGGCTGATTAAATAGGAAATGACAAATGATACTCTTTCCCCAGTGAGAGCAATTTCAGAAAAGAAATGTCTTGGAAATGTTTGCTTTCTTTCATGCTGTATTTTAAATTTTACAAATAAATGCACAGTTACTGGTGTAATAGTTTGGCTTGTTCAAACTATATGGTATAAAATTAATGTGCATTACTTATTAAGGAATACTGGCTAGATCCATAGCAAATATGGAAAAGTTTACTTTAATTGATATTTCAAAACAAATGGAAATATTGATAATATATGCCACCTCCTTCTGTCTGATGAAAAAGAACTAAATACATCCATGTTTTTGCTCTAGTATATAGTATCTAAAATTTACATAGTGTTGAGTTGTCATTTGTTTTTAATCTAATCATTATCCCTCCTTTTTTAAGTTCCTTCATATAAATCTGCAAAAGTGCATTATAAACTCTCACCAAAGGAGTTAACTTATTCTCCTTCTTGCTAAACAATTTAACAAATGTCCAATTGTATACATGTCCCAAAAATTTTGATCATTCTACACAAGAAAGACAACATACCCTGTATTTTCAAAATATGTTGACACTAAAAGAATCGGGCTTGAGTCCAAAACAAAAAAAACTTTAATGTAATACTTGAGTTTGCCAATGTATTTTAAAGTCAGAATGCAAATACACAATCCAACATAATACCTGAAAAACTTCATGATTCTAGATTCAAATCAAAGTGACCAGATATTACAGGTATTGAGAATACAGGGCTAGATCTTTGAAGAACATCAACAGATAAATCAATTTGATATACACTTTATAGTTTGTTGAATTAAATGCCAGCATTATATTCAACAGGTATATTTCATTATTCACACTTTAATTTTTGATGAACACAATTTTGAAATTCTATTTATCATACCAATGGAAGATATAGCATTACTCAAAGACCTTACTTGGAATAAACATAATAAAATATCACTCAATGACCTTAATGAAGTCACAAGCTGACATAACTAAATGTATTACTCAATGATATGACAATGTGAAGTTACCTGCTGATACATAAGAGGTAGTATTATTCACTGACATCTGTTGACACCTAGCAAGATTTAATATTAGTTCATGACCTAGCCTTATGATGATACACACTGACACACAAGATGACATTACTGTATGAAGTTACTTGCTGTCACACACAATGTAGCATTACTCAATGACCTGACCTTTGAAGTTACCAGCTGACATAAAAAATGTAGCATTACTAAGTGATGTTGCTGTTATGAAGTTGCTCTGTCATGCAACAAGATGTAGCATTTCTGTGACATTGCTGTATGGAGTTACTTGCTGTCACACACAATGTAGCATTACTCAGTGACATTGCTGTATGGAGTTACTTGCTGTCACACACAATGTAGCATTACTCATAACCTGACCTTTGAAGCTACCAGCTGACATACAAATGTAGCATTACTCAGTGACATCGCTGTATGGAGTCTCACACAATGTAGCATTACTCAGTGACATTGCTGTATGAAGTTACATACTGAAAAATAACACTATGTAGTATTACTCAATGACCTAACCTTAGGAGTTGCATGTTGAAACAAAAAATAACACATAGTATTAAAAGACATTGCCTAATTAAGTTACATACTGACAAGTAATAAAATGTAGCATTACTTAATGACATGGCCTTATTATGTTACATGTAGTATTAATGACATTGTGTTTTGAATTTACTGACAAGTAACAAAAATGTAGTATTACTTAATGACATTGCCTTTTGAAGTTACTTGTTGACACTTAACAAAACAAAGTATTACTTAATGATATTACCGTATTAAGTTACATGCTAACAAGTAACCGCTTCGGTGGCCTAGTGGTTAGAGCATCCGCCTCAGATGCATGAGGTCATGGGTTCGATCCCTGGATGAGTCATACCAAAAACTTACAAAAATGGTACTAACAGCTGCCTCACTTGATGCTCAGCATTAAGAGGTTAGTATTAGAACTGGTCAGCCTTGTGTCAGGATAATGTGACTAGGTGGGACACCATGCTACATGTCTGTGGCATGATGCCCCAGTGCTAGACATCACTATAAACTGCCACACTGCAGACATCATAGCAATATGACTGAAAAATTGTTAAAGCTACATCTTAAAAATCATAATAATCACATCACATCACATGCTGACAAATAACAAAATGTAGCATTACTTAATGGCATTGCCTTTTCACCTATAATTAACCAAGACTTTTTTCTTATCTGATAACCTTAGTGCACTAAATAAAGTTTAACTGGTGATGTTATTATTGAACTATTTACATTAAAAAGCTCTGATGGAATTATGATTTAAAAGAATTTACCCTAAGTTTCTAACCGACAGACAATTCTTTGTACATAAGAAAAACAAGAATCCGATTACAACTGGATACTTTATGTCAGTGTAAGCAATAAGCAGACAAAAATACAAGCATTAATAGAATGAATTAAAAATGACTAACTGATGGTTTGCTGCAAAATAGAAAAACTTGAGGAATGGTGAGTATTTATCCCTTGTAAATTATGCCCACCCCTACTAAATCACACTCCTACCCTGTGATAAGGATTAATATAAAGTTTTTAAAAAAATGACTGAAAATAGCATGACTACAATGATTTGTCAACATGCATATATTCGAATGATGACTGAAACTGACATTTAAATGTCACAGCAATCCACTAAAATCTGCATTAGTTTCATTCACAAACTGCTATGATACCCTGCATGAAGCAGATTTGAAACTGAAATAATAAAATAATGGTAAGGCAAAATGGGGGACCAGTTGCACTATATGGATTTTGTAATTCAGAGTATTTGGCTACAAAACCAAAAGGGCTATAACTCTTACACATTGTGAGAAAAGTGATTTGTCAATGTGTGCATCTTCTGTCAATGATTATAATAATGACTGGTTGCATGGTAATCCATCAAAAACCACAGGACAATTTGCACTGACAGATGGATGGAGAGACAGGCAGATGGATATGAAGGTCATTACTATATACTTTGATGCCTACAGAGGTGGGAATATAAAAATGCATGAAATTTGAAATTTACCAGCTTATCATTTAATCATTGTGTATTCAGGCTACACATTAATTTTGCTGTAAGACTTTTTATACCATTATTTCAATTTGAAATACATTTTCAGTACTGTGAAGTAAAAACAAAGAATTTGGCACAGTCTATTATTTGATTGTAGGATGATTATTTTTTAGGAAGCAGTACATTTTATTAATCTTGTATGTGGAATACAGCATAATGGTTCTAATGTCAAATAAGGCTATGAATTGCCAGATTGGTATAGCTTTGTATGAGTATAGCATAATGGTGCCAATGACAAATAAGGCTATGAATTGTCAGATTGGTATAGCTTTGCATGAGTACAGCATAATGGTGCCAATGACAAATAAGGCTATGAATTGTCAGATTGGTATAGCTTTGCATGAGTACAGCATAATGGTGCCAATAACAAATAAGCCATGGACAGTCAGATTGGTATAGCTCTGTATGAGTACAGCATAATGGTGCCAATGACAAATAAGGCTATAAATTGCCAGATTGGTATAGCTCTGTATGAGTACAGCATAATGGTGCCAATGACAAATAAGGCTATAAATTGTCACATTGGTATAGCTTTGTACGAGTATAGCATAATGGTGCCAATAACAAATAAGCCATGGACAGTCAGATTGGCAGAGCACTTCATGACAAATACATCATAATGATGCCAATGACAAAATAAGGTTATGGATGGTCACAATAGTACAGCTTAACTGCCAAAAATCCATATCTTACTGAAGACTTTGTGTGTATTCATAAGAAGTCCAAAATTGGAATTCACATTTCAAAGCTGTTAATTTAAGGAGATTTTGAGAAAGTACATGCAGGGCTGTCATATGTACCTGTTTATAAGTTGGGTCCACCTGCAAAAACAAAGACCCCTAATTTGTCATCTCATAATACCACATTATATCAGTGTCAGTGTTCATTAAACTGATTAGGCCAAATAAGGTGTATAGACATGTAGCAGCTAGGACACTATGCTATGGCAGATCTGGGTACTGTTTACAGTTGGAACCAACTTGTGAATATGTATGTTATGTCCATTGAACATAAATTATTTATAAACTATTGAGTCCAAAACTACTTGTAATGAGCAGCAAATAATACATGGTTGACAGTGCTTAATATGTAGTCACTAATACATTCAAAAAGTGTTCACAGAAATTGCATAAACTATGAATACCTATAAGTTTAATTTGAACTTTAATCCAATTCAACATCAATTTTACTTAACTATGGCTTCCAGATAATTTGATATCCATCTCATCTATTTTTGATTATTCAAATTTTGATTAAATGAAACATATTTTTTAATCAAGGATGATTAATTACTCTGCTGTATATTGTTTTTTGGAAAACAGTTCTAAAAAATTTACAAAAAAGTATATACAAATACATCTTATAGATGTTTTTTGTTGACCATAATAAAACTTTGGACAATAAGACTTGTTCATACTTTGTATTGGAGTTGACATGACTAGAAAAATTCTTTCACAAGAGGATTGAAAATTGCCCTCCATCAGTTTTGCATAGATCATTAATAAATATTGACATATTACATAAAATATTTACATTGAAAATGTATGGCACACTGAACAGTAATAAGCATGTATATTTATTTACCATCTTAACTATACCAAAATAATACAGTAAATATGTGACCAAAACTAAATCACTTAACTAATATTACATACACCAATGTTATTGTATATAAAATCTGAATCCACTGTACAAACTGTTTTCTAAATCTTATTACCGGACTTGCTTGTAAATCTAATTAAGTTTTATATACTCTTTACAATTATACAATTATCACATTTTTATATCTTCCATAAACTGGAATATATATATATATATATATATATATATATATATATATATATATATATATATATATATATATATATATATATATATACATACATACATACAAATAGATTTAAACTAATTACCAGTTTCAAAATACCAACAAGTCATTCTCACTTAATGAAAAGTGCATTACCTCTTAAAATTGTTATAATAAAAAAATAAGTGGAGGAGAATAGATTCTTAATAATATCCAGATACACAAAGTGAAATAAAATGCTTCTGAACCATACACTTTGGCAGTGTAAAAAATGTAACAAAGATATAGCCACAAGATTTACCCTGCCTGTATCTTGGCAAAGTTATGTCAATTTTGAATAATTTAAGCATGAAAAACAGGCTCCTTAAATCAATTTTAATGGGCTGTAAAATCATGATATGATAAACAGAATCCTTAAATCAATTTCAATTGACTGTAAAATCATGACAAGATAAACACTCGTTCAATCAATTTCAACTGACTGTAAAATTTTGACAAGATAAACAGACTCCTTTAATAAATTTCAATTGACTGTAAAATCATGACAAGATAAACAGACTCCTTTAATAAATTTCAATTGACTGTAAAATCATGATATGATAAACAGACTCCTTAAATCAATTCCAATGGGATATAAAATCATGACAAGATAAACAGAATCCTTCAATCAATTTCAATTGACTGTAAAATCATATGATAAACAGACTCCTTAAATCAATTTCAACTGACTGTAAAATCATATGATAAACAGACTCCTTAAATTAATTCCAATGGACTGTAAAATCAAGACAAGATAAACACTCATTCAATCAATTCCAATGGGCTGTAAAATCATAACAACATAAACAGAATCCTTCAATCAATTTCAATTGACTGTAAAATCATATGATAAACAGACTCCATAAATCAATTCCAATGGGCTGTAAAATCATGTCAAGATAAACAGAATCCTTTAATCAATTTCAATAGACTGTAAAATTATGATATGATAAACAGACTCCTTCAATCAATTCTGACAGGCTGTAAACTCACAGCAAGAAAAACAGATTTCTTTAACTCATTTAATTAATTTCAGTAGGCTGTAAAATCACAGCATGAATAAACATTCCTTTAATCAGTTTCAAAGGGCTCTAAAATCATGTCATGAAAAAAAAACATTCTTTTAATCAATTTCAACATACTTTAAAATAACAGTACAAAAAACTGACTTCCTTAAACATTTCAATGGGCTGTAAAATCATAACATGAAAAAACAGATTCCTTTAATCAATTTCAAAATGCAGTATAATGGCAGTATGAAAAAAGAGTCCTTTAATCAATTTGAATGGCCAGTAAAATCACAGCATGAAAAAAGATTCCTTAAATCAATTTCAACATGCTAAAAAATAGCAGTATGAAAACACTCTTTTAATCAATTTTGATGGCCAGTAAAATTATGGCATGAAAAAACAGTTTGCTATAATCAATTATAACAGGCTGCAAAATGACAGTAGGAAAAAACAGATTTCTTTAATTAATTTAAATGGGCTGTCAAATCATGGCATGAAAAAACAGCTTACTAAAATCAATTTCATTGGGCTATAAAATCATGGCATGAAAAAACAGCTTACTAAAATCAATTTCAATGGGCTGTAAAATTATGGCATGAAAAAATCAGCTTACTAAAATCAGATTCAATGGGCTGTAAAATTATGGCATGAAAAAATCAGCTTACTAAAATCAATTTCATTGGACTATAAAATCATGGCATGAAAAAACAGCTTACTAAAATCAATTTCATTGGGTTGGGCTATAAAGTCATGGCATGAAAAAACAGCTTACTAACATCAATTTCAATGGGCTGTAAAATTATGGCATGAAAAAAATCAGCTTACTAAAATCAATTTCAATGGGCTATAAAATCATGGCATGAAAAAACAGCTTACTAAAATCAATTTCAATGGGCTGTAAAATTATGGCATGAAAAAACCAGCTTACTAAA